CAATAAACAGGCTTCATGGTTTCAGAAGGGCTGGATGGTGATGCAGAGATGGACTGATTTTCTCAGTGGACTCTCACCAGCCCCAAATTCCAGTAAGAGGGTGCAAGGCCCTGGGAGCTCCATCCACAGCTTCTCTTTATGCCTGGCCTGGCCTCTCTTCAAGTACTATGCAGGGAATATTCGGAGTTGGGAGACCGATGAAAGGGCAGACTGTTGCTCATTAAACAGATTCCACTTTCTACATCGTATGCTGGTGCCCCGATCCCACTGCAGTAGACACAAGGGGAGTTGAGGGGGCTCAAAATGACTCATCTTGCTGAGTCAGGCTCCGACCTGGGCCAAATGACAATTTCATCCAGATCTCCGCGGCTGCCTTTTCCTGCTCCTTCACCTCAGCTCTACCTCCCCTCCTGGGCAACACAAGGAGGAAGCTCTAAGCTGCCTGGCTCTGGGGATGGCCTTGCCCAAACCCACCACCTTAAGCCAGGAAAGAAGAGGAGAATCCAGGCCTGGGAGAGGGAGCTGGCAGGGGTCTCCAAGTCTGGCTTGTTTGAGAGGCGTGCAGGATTGGTGGGCGTAAGAACACCAGAGCTTTCCCCAGTCTAGAACTAGACAGAAAGCCTAGGGGCGACTTCCAGGCCTCCCTCTCTGGCTCCATTCTCCAGAAAGGGGCTCTCTGGATTCCAAGTTAAGACCGTGTGTAGTTTGGGTCCTACTTCCTGACTAGCTGTGTCACCTTTACAACACACACTTCACCTTCAGGGCAGGTTTCCTACCCTGCCAAATGGGGAGTAATAAACCCCTGCCTCAAGAAGCTCCCAAGAACTCAAGCCAAGGAAGGAGGGGGAGGGAGCAGGGAAGGTGCTGTGCCCCTTTTCCACCCCATCTTTCTCCCCCACGGCCGGAGCAGTCCCGCGGCTCCAGATTTGCCTAGGCCACCAATGCTCAGCGGGAAGAGGCCTTCCCGACCCCTTCCGACCACGGAAACTCCCCAGGAAGGCATCCGCATCCAAGTTAAGGGCCTGGAGCTCTTCCCCCAGCTCTAGCGCTAGCCCGACGGCAGGCGGGAGCGGAGCGGGGCGGGGCGCCCGGGGCGCGCCGGGGTAACCGCTGGGGCCCCTCCGCCC